AAATTTGCCTTTGTGTCATCGTCATCCGAATAAACAAATACCAAATTTGCACGCTAATGAGGGATTACAGCCTAAGCATTTTCTTTTTGTTATCTATTACTGCTGCACACGTTTGAGGCTAATCTAAATCCGCTTCATGCCGTTCGTTTAGTGTACAGCAGTGATCCAACAACACCTAAAATATTTTAGGTGTTGTTGAGTGATCACGAAATCTGTTCCACCCTCCGCTCTGTGCACTCCTGAAACAGAAAATTGAACGCACCTTGTTAAGATGACGGAGAGTAACCACAACACATCAGAGCATAACCTTACTTTTCTATTTATTCAAATTTATATTCTTTTATACATAAACAAATTCAATTTTAATTTATGAGCAAAGAGCATGACACAGTTACTAAAATTAATTTGTAACAATTCTAGAAGATATTCTAATATTAAACGCGGTGTAATACTTGGAATTGAAACTTCGTGCGATGACACTGGATGTGCCGTTGTGGATACAGAAGGAAACATTTTAGGCGAAGCCTTAAATTCACAACATTTAATTCATTTGAAGTATGAACATTTAATTCAGATAAGGGAGGCTTATTTCGGGTTTACTTTAGGCATGGCGGTATTATACCCCCTATTGCTCAAGATTTACACCGTAAAAACATAGAGAATGTTGTGGCTGATGCACTGAAAGAAGCCAATTTAAGTTGTAACGAAGTGGATGCTATAGCAACAACTGTTAAACCTGGTACTTAACGCCAAAAACTTACGTTTGTTAGTGATAATTACTTACTTAGGTCTACCACTGTCTTTAACAATTGGGACAAAATATGGGAAACATTTGTGCAGGACGTACAATAAACCATTTATTCCCATACATCACATGGAGGCGCATGCCTTAACAGCTCGTATGCACGACAGTACGATCGAATTTCCTTTCCTAGTATTATTAATAAGCGGCGGACATTGCCTGCTAGCCATAGCTCAGGATGTAGACAAATTTTTGTTGATGGGGCAAAGCTTCGATGATGCCCCAGGTGAAGTTTTTGACAAGGTTTTTAATGCTGTTACCGACAAATTGCATATATCATTTCATTTTTAGATGGCAAGGAGGCTGAAATTAAAAGATATTCTCGAATATTCCGAAATGTCCGGAGGGCAAGCGATAGAGTGTGCAGCATCGAAAGCAACAAATCCGTTGGAATTTAATTTCACACCTACACTTTTACGGTATAGGGATTGTAATTTTAGTTTTGCTGGGAATAAAAACCAATGTGTACGACATATTTTGGCGCAGGAGAGGAAACATGGTAGGTACGTCCGATTATTTTCATTCCGTAATTGTGTATGGTAGGGCTTTCACCAGACGCTATTATTCCGGGTGTAAATAATTTATGTGCCGGTTTACTGTTGGTTATGACTAGACACTTGTGCCATCGTGTTCAGAGAGGTATGGAGTATGCAGCTTTGAAACATTTGATACCTTCTGATCGTAGAACTTTGGTATAACTTAAATTAATGAAGTGAGATGCTAATGCGTGATTGTAGGTTGTGTCTGGAGGAGTTGCTTGTAATAATTTTGTAGCAGCAGGCTTACAAGTTTTGTGTGATGGAATGGAATACAAATTGGCACGGCCCCCACATAAGCTTTGTACAGACAATGGAGTGATGATTGCTTGGAATGGAATTGAAAGGTGATTTTGTGGTACAATTGTCTTATAACATTGAATAAGAATCTGGTTAGCTTGTAAGTGGCAGTCATATATGCCGATCTAATCCTATACCTACTGCTCTAAAGGAGTTGAGCAATCGTATTATTTTTACAGCTTTGAGGGCAAACAGGTATAAATGGTTATATATTACGTGTTTACTACTTAAAATTGTGTAACAGACTGGAAGTACATTGTACTGCTCTTAGTTTTGTAACGACTCTATTAAGCATAAACCTTTGGCTTTTCAAGCTGTCAAAATATAACAAAACTTCTCAATCCCTATAGTATCCATAAGTATAGTTGGAGAACACGATTTTTTAATTTTTAGATGGAGAGCAAACAAGGGAATAACAACAGATTTAGACTCAATCACAATTGAAAAGTCTAGTCCGTTGGGAGAAGATGTAAGAAAAGATGTCGAATTGGCCAATATAAAGCCAAAGTGGATTAAACTAACTGGATTAGTGAATCAAAACGAAAATGTTAAAAAAGATGTATTACAAAACAATGGTTGAAGTTTAAATACAAATTAGACAACTAGCGGTCCTCTTTCACCTAAATTGTGTCTTAGATTGGCTATAAATTCTGCTTTTTCCTCCAGTTCCTTCTTCTTTTTAATTTCATTATGAACATCTAGCAAATGTCTAATTTTGTTCTTAAGTAAATTAACATCATCCACACTTTCCTTAGCGGATATAGCCATAATATCATCAAATACAAAAGGAATTTCTGGCCTCATTTCTTCAGGGTAACTCTTCAATACATCTGCATACATGCACTTAAGACAAGGTCAACTATAAGACAATACTGACCTGATATATTTAAGATTTTGTCTCGTACATTATGGAAGTGTTGGTGATCCGTAACTGTGTCCATTTTATTTATGACCATTAATTTAGGTTTACTTAATAAGTCAGGATTATAAAGTTCTAATTCCTACAAATGTTTTGAATTGTACACACTCTAATATAGCAACAAATAGGTACCTTATTCAATAAGACGATGGTGTCCAAACAATTCCTATGGACATATTGGTACCCTAACCGAAATCCATTTATATCTGCCATAACAAGTAAAAGTTGTGTTCTTTCAACATGCCTTAAAAACTCATGACCCATTCCTCTATTCGCATGTGCACCTTCAATAAGACCAGGTAAATCGGCCACTGATATTTGTCGAAAGTCTGGGTATGAAATTATTCCAATGTTTGGTCGAATTGTCGTAACTAAAAATGAGTATAAGACTTTGGAACAATTTAAAGCATTACGTACAAGGGTAACTTGCAATTTTTGGCTTGGCATGGGAAATAGCTTTCAATAATGTACTTTTTCCAGCATTTGGAAATCCGACCAGACCGACATCGGCTATCAATTTTAAATCTAATTTGACGTTATAAGCTTGCCCTTTGATACCCAAAAACCCATTCTTAGGATGTCCACCTTTTCCTCCATTCGCTACAATGACTTCATCCCCTTCCTTATTTACTTCGCCTAGTTTTTTGCCTTCGTCAGTATAAATTGTTACACCCAGAGGAACTTCAAATTTTAAACTCTCTCCGGGAGGGCCCAGTATAAAATTATGCGTACTATGTGTGCCATTCTTTGCTATGAAACGCCTCGACTGATTGCATCTGCACAGATCTTCTAGTGTAATATGCTCTCGTCCCACAGCAACAACGCTTCCTCCCTGTCCACCAACACCCCCAAATCTAAGGAAGGTCATTGAGAATCCTGAACATTCCAAAACATAACATACTTGGGATAACCATTCCCACCCGCACCGCCTTTCACGTATATCCTTAAAGAATCTTTAAAACCATTTCGTAAGTAAAGCCTGAGTGGGTTTACTTTTGATTCGTATTTTAAACATCTCTCTAAAAACACCATTCCTTTTTATAAAACAGCATAACAACTGTGAAATTAGTAACCCAGCATTACTCCCTGACGCTGTGGTAGACACTTCACAGATATTTTATATACAGGGTGCTAGTTCACTTCGTTGTGGAAGTGTTTTGCAAAGCAATTATGAGTGCGGGAACAGTTATTTTGCAGATGAGCGCGAAGTTTGGCGGCGCGAGTGCGACGCATCTAGCGCGAATCAAGCAAATACTGTTCACGCACGTAACATGTATTCTATTTTTTGCACGGATTAGTTAAATCGAATTTATATAAATTCAAATTCTTTTCGCGAGATTTTTGCGACATTATAATTCTTTTGAAAAAATCTAGTCCTCTATGCCGATAAAGTAGAAATCTAGAAATTTAAGATGTCAATTTATTGTTCAAAACTTCTGGTTTAAGCTTATTTTTGCCCTTGTACTACAGGAAATGATGTAAAGTGTATTTATATTTTCTTTATTACTCTTCCATCATACTACTTATTAGTTTATGATCATCACTAAATAGATAATTTCGTTGAATTTTTAGGCACTAGTGCGCGAAAGTAGATAGTCAATTGTACAATTGATGTTCCCGACGTTCGTGCTTTATTGGGAAAACGCGATTTAAACCAAGGAGTGCAAAAAACGTTTTGAGCGTGAGTGCTTTGGTTCCATCATTAATAGCGCCCCTGTATAGAACTCCATAGCTGTATAAGAGTCACTGATCCTGAGCTGTTAACCTCAAAATTTTAAAATCTATCGATTCGCCCCTCGAAGCAAGAGTCAAATCATATTTCCATGCATTTTTCCTGTTATGTTATGACGTAATATTCGTGAATACAACAATGAAATCGTTCGTAGTTTTCCCCACATAACGCAATAATCCACCTCCAAAGGCACTGGAAGGAGGTTACACCAAATATTTAATGAAGGAAGATGTGGGTCAACTTTCTCTAAGTTTCATGTTTCTTATTTTAGTTTTGGGGGAAACCTCCTTTCCTTTAAGCAATGCATTTATCAAAACTTCCCCTGCAATTTATTCATAAAAGTTTGCTACCACTCGGAGGGGTGTGTGCAAATCGTAATCAATGTCAAACCCGCAAAATTAGCACTGGCAATGTGAATCTTGCAAAAGTAGCCCAATATCAAAAACCTGACTGGAATCGGGCCGTTACCGAGGCAGAGAAGATTGTCGGCTATCCAACTTCGTTTTTAAGCCTCAGGTGGCTGTTAAGTGACGAAATCGCAAATGTCGCATTGCATTTGAGGAAACTAGTAGGTTCGAATCATCCGCTACTTAAAACCGGCAAGTAAGACGATTGCAAACATTTAATTTTGCACTTCACACAATTTTTTAGGAGCTTATTATACAATGGCAAAAATAATATGCAAGCTTGGGGGTTGATTGTACTTCTTGTTTCGAAAGCCGCCGGCCATGCTCCTGACCTTCCCGATTTGGAGCAGGATAAAGCTGCAGGGGTCCTACATAGTCAGCGCGCTCTTGCGGAAGTGACAGAAATGATACGCACAAGCCATTTGGCTCACAAAGGGTTGGTAAACTTGCAAGGGGACGAAACGAAAGAAGATACAAGCGATATGATGTTTGGTAATAAAATAGCGCTTCTAATGGGAGACTATTTACTTGGTAATTGTTGCGCCGAATTGGGTGTCTTACGCAACCAAGAATTGGTAAGCCTGATGAGTTCTGCCGTTCGAGATTTGGCGGAGGCCGAATTTGTGGGACCGCGCGATAAGCAAAATAATCCGTTACCAGCGCGGCCTCTGCCGTACATTGAGTACAAGCCGTTGAATGATGTCGGTTTGGAGCCTTTACTTGTAAGCGAGGCTTTGGGTAACGCACAGGCTGAGTGGACGTTACGGCACGTTTTAAGTGCCGGTAGTTTGTTGGGCAAGTCTTGTCAGGGAACTTTGAAATTGGCCGGGCATTCCTATGAAGTTCAGGAACAGGGATACTTATTCGGTAAACATCTGGCATTAGCGTGGCAGGCGTGTTTGGATCGTGAGCCTTTCGCTCCTGGTAGCACGGAACCTTTTAGCCTTGTGTGCGCACCAGTTATGTTTCATTTACAGCATGATCCCAGTTTTTATGAGGAGATTGAGAAGGGTGAAATTGACGTTCATGATGTGGACTATGACAAAATTCGCAAAGAAGTTTTGAACGGTCCCGGTTTGGATCTTACACAGAAGTTGCAAAGGGAGCATTCACAAGCTGCACTAGATGTTTTAAATCAATTACCACCATCTGACGCCCGTACAGCGTTGGGGAACATTATTGCAGCAATACGTGATATTTAGACTCATTGCTCATATTAAGACTTTTATTTATTGTTTTTTATCTTTTGATTTGTTGCTTTGTTTATACTGCGCTGGTTTTGTCAGGAAACAATGCACTACCCCTTCAGATTTACATTGAAGAAACTTTTATTTTTTTCTGCTTTTCACTCTAGCAAATGAATAGCTTTTTTAATGCATTATTGCTTTATATTGAAAATTTCTTTTTATATATAAGATTTTAGCAATGTAGCTTTATTTAACAATTCTATACATAGATTATTAAGAGTGGTTGAGGGTTGTTGTTTTTACATTACAATGTTTATCTTTGTTATTTAATTTTTTCTTATAGGTATACGGTTTTCTATACGTTTTCTATCTGCGTTATACTAAATTACATGTACTATTCTGCATAGTATTGACTTGTTTGTATGATTGTACAAAACATTAAGAACCAACAACAATTGTTTTTTTGTACTTTTGTATTTTTTATGAAAATTAAATAATATTTTTTCAGGCTTTTCCAATTATTTGTGTATATAGTAAAAAATAAACCTGTGTGAATTTGCCACCCGCGTTCGCGGATAAATTACAACGAACAACATCCCTTCCACTTAAAAATCGCATTAAAAGAAAACTCTATGTGTTCGAGGGACATTAAATAAGTCAGTGACTGTATGTATTGTATAATATGTAGCCACTTGGAGTTCAATATCACGTTCCAGAAGAAGAGACACAGCCAAACGTACAGAACCTCAAAATCAAATATTTTTTGGTCTGGGCATAGAATTCTAGACTGTAATAGAATCTCATATTTCAATGCATAGAACCCCCTTAAATGAGAAATGGCGCATTAACACAAAATTGACTATATTGCCTTGCATGGTCATCGTCTGAATAAAGAAAGTACAAGCCCAGTCTAGAGACTTACAAGGTTACTATCTTAACCTTGTTGCATGCTAGTAATTGCCATCATGTGATATCGTGGGAACAATTAAGTCTTCATTTAGTTTTGGTAAGTATCTTTCCATTTTTTTTAGTAAATTAGTATCATACCCTTTATCAGAAGTTTTTTCGTTTTAGGTTAGATTGTTGGAATCAGTAGCAGTAGCTGTTGCACGATTTATCTTCTGCCATTTATTCATGCTCGTTGCATGGCTTGTGTTCTATGATGAAGTTGCTCTATGTTTAACAAATAGAATCATATTCTTTCTGCCGATGTGTTATGATTTTCAAAGCACTTATTCACGTTTTCCAACTGCTTGTATGCTTACTTAGTACTTTAGTAATAACAAATGTTAATGCATTTTATACTTATTTATTATACAGTAAGGTCCGAAAGTGTTGTCACTCCTTTGTTTTGTCCAGAT